ATTGTAATATAATTTATAGCAGTATGGGGCAACAAAGGCTGAATCTTGGTAGTAATCCAATCTTTTAGGTTGATAATGGCTTTAACACTGACCTAATATTGAAAGGTGAACATGTAAAGAGGCCATTAGACCTAATTATAAATAGGACAATAGGGATAAAACACATCACTAGTCTGCATCAGTGAAGACAAAACTTTCCTTGAGAGCAAAGGACACAGATCTTGTCACAAGATTATGAAGAGTTTTGTTGCTGATTTTGACACAAAAAATAATCAAGAACTTTGTTTTAAAGAAAGACATTAACACACTTCCCCCCCTCAAAATTCAATTTTTGTTATAAAAGGAACAAAATATAGAATAGCTAAAGTTAATCTGGGTACCTATTCTTTAACTCAATTTGGAGGTAGGAACTAGTAGGAACACGCCTATTTTTATGAAGACAAAGCAAGCCTTCAAAATCTCTGTGGAAATCTGTAAAGATGGTGACACTAGTACACTCACATTGTTCCTCTCCATAGCTTGCTGATGCATGATAGTGAACACAACCGGTTTCTGCTACAGACAGTAGATCACGGTCCTCAGCACTTCACTGAGTACTCAGTGAGCCTCGTCATCGGACCTCTGGGTGGCAGGGAACAAAACCAACTACGAAATGCATTTAACCCAAGTAAGAGTAACTTCTTGCGAAAGGCAGCACAATACCATTTCCTGGTTTAAAAGGCATTCTCATCGTCAAAATATGCTTTAGTATTGCTTATATGTATTTTCTAATCCAATCTTTTGTGCAGTATCTAGAAATACAGTACAGTGGTAATAACGTAATTAGTATTTTCACTAGCTAAATTATAGAGCTGACTGCAGAATACAGCATAGTAGCATCAATATTTACAGTTAAGTATTATACAGAAATGACATCAAGAGTTTTAGTATAGTCATAGAGACACTGTAATTTCCTCTTTCTCCAAGATCCCTTCAAATTGTGTGAGATGAGGAAACTCACAAAATCCACTGGCTTTTAGTTCAACTCAAATTCTAAAAATCAGCATCTCAGAGATTTCTTAGGTAAATTCGTGGAGGTTCTTGAACAATATTCCTTTCTGAATATGGTATTAGTTATAAAGAACTTAAGTTCTGCTGCATCGACCTATCATATGAATTTAATTTTCCCAGCACTTCTGCAAGTTAACAAAGGAGTATAACAGATATTTCACAGCTGAAGATGATGATACATAGGGATTTGTAATAATTATCCAAGACCATAAAAGCAATCCTATGTCAGTGCAAGAAGTGGAACCACTGGCTTTGCAATCCAGTGCTACTCCGTATTTCCCTTCTACCCTGGTCACGTAGTGAATCTAAAACTCTAACAACCAAGATACTGGACACCAAGCAGCCATTAAGGAAGATACCGAGGCAAGCATGCTTTCAAAGATTCCTCACCTGAGGGGACAATGGTCAGCCACCCCTACATGCCCAAAAATCAGAGGACTCCAATTTACACCAGAAGCTGAAGGCGATCCCATGCCATCCTCCATGCCTAAAACTCCCTTTTGGCCAAGCTAATTCACAACCCCCTAGACCAACTCAGGAACACTCAGGATCCACCCACACTCCATCCACTTCCTAATTACAGTAACTTTATGTTTTACTTCACAAAATGAGATTCATGTCTTCCTTCACCAGTTCCATTCAGCTCCTCCAACATTTTGTTCGTTTGTTTGTTAAGATGCAGATCTCCAGCAGATTGATCACTTCAGATGAGATAAAGCAATCCCTTGGTAAATCCCTCTGGAAATGCAGAATATATTATATGCACCAGAGTTGAAATCCTTGAATTTCCCCTTTTCAGATCCTCTTCGTTTCCAGTCATTCAGATAAAGAATGGAGCTTTTGTAGGCCAGTTAATCCATCCACTGAATGAAATATGGTAAAGTTTTACATACCCACATGTTCTTTCAAGGGCCTGGTTTACATCTGTAGATGTAATAATAGCTGTAGTAATGTAGACAAAAATCATGGCTCGGGCCCCCAGAGAAGATCTTTAAAGACGGGTTGAAAAGTCTCAATGCTGCAGTCAAAGGAACTGGCAAAATGATTTAAGGGCTGTCTCCGCTTACATTTATTCCTGCCAAAGCACTGGCTTAATTTTCTTTGTGTGTCTTAATAAGCCACCTCTGTGAGAGGGACTCTTACTTGAAATGCTTGTATGTCCTAAACTCAGAAGTAGGCACTGTTGAGTGGTAAGCTGAGACAAACATCCAAAGGTGGTGTCAGGCTCAAGCTGCAAAATGAGCCTCCTCTTCATCTTCTCTAGCATCACAGTCACAAACTAGCATGAAAACAGCATTTACGCAATGAATTAAAATGCAAATATACATTTTATTCTATGAAATTGAGACAAATGATACACACTTGAAGCCTGCCAGAGTAGCAATTACAAACATTAATATAGTTTTAGATGATGACTTAAAACAAACAAGAGGATGGAATAGAAACGCTGTACATCAGAGCTTGTGAAACACTACAGGGAAAAAGCAACTCTTGCCCTAGTAATGTAAGCCTAAAATACAAATTTTGCTGTAAAGGGCTAGATCTGCCTTGTGCAGGCATGTACCTCCAGGAAGCCTCCAGCCACAAGATGTACGTACAATACAGGGAAGCAGCCTGCCAGCGAGGGAGAGCTGAGGGGGTCTCAAAGTATGTGGGAGAGGACTTTGCACTGCCACAAACTAACGGGCTGAGGCATCATCCAGGAGAGTCCAAACAGCCACTGGCCTAGGACAGAACTGCCTAGCTGGTGTAAAGATGTATTTATGCTAGGTCTGATTTAGATTGTGCTCTGCACAATCAGATCGCTTTGAAGGTTTGACTTGTGCAATCATTTCCTTTGTCAGGAATCAGAAAAAGACTGTGAAAAGACTGCGAACAAATTGTTTAGGCATTGAAATTTAACCCTGTGGAATCCTTACAGTGTAGCACAGTGTGACACAGCAGGAGCACATTTGTCAGGGGACTGAAGCCTCTTTGCTCTCTCCGCACAAAACATATACATTAGCATTGTGTGGTGTGGGTGTGCTCCCAAGCACATGATGCAGCTATGGGTACGCAGCTCCATGCCTACCCTGCCTCCCATCTGCACTGCAACTGCATTCAGCCCTCTGCACCATTTCTGTTCTGTTAAGGAAAATAAGGGCTTCAGATCCTTCAAGACCGCCTGGAAGCCCTTCCGTTATATTTTCTTTTAGAGACTGTATAAGATTTGATTTTTAAACATCCGTAATGCATGTGAGAAAATTATTGAGTATTACAACAATCTTTTTAATAGACCTAATGTTTTTCCACTAGTGTCCTAGCATTAATAATGTCAGAATATAAAGACCAAAAACAAAAAGGCATTTGGTAGAAACTAGTCAGTTCCAAGACTTTTCACTCTGATGTGGGCTAAGGGAAGAACCCAGCTGGTGTGGTTTCTATACCAGCATTCATGACACCAACAGTTTCCATCTCAGTTAGACTCCATACAGCAAGGTACTGTGCATCCCCTGCTCCTCCTGAAGAGCAGAGTCTGAGAGCACCAAGTACCTCACAGCGGGAGCACAGCCCTCTGTAGAATTAAACCTTAACACAAGATAGCCCATCAATGTTTTTGTGAACTGTTGAAAAATATGCTGACAAGAATAAAAGAAAATAGTCATTTGGAATTTGGCAGAGAAAAGCCACTCTAAATCATTTCCAACTGCAATAAGTCTTTGCTCCTGTTTTACAAGTAATAGAAGAGACTATCCCTGGTTTATAAACTCATTCAGTTAATATGTTTAAGAAAGCAGACAAGTTTCTCTCCTGCGGGGGTTTTCAAATATTGTCTTTCCTTGTGGCTGCCAGTATTTCAACATCCCGTTCCAAAAACACTGTTTATTACTCTCTGGGAAGAAAAAAACCCAAAAAACTGCTGCATATGAGGAAAAGAAAAATGGTTAGAAGAACAAAAAATGGTAAATGACAGTTACATATTAGGGAATACTAAAGGGCTGTATGCTGCTCCCTGCTGCTACAGTACATCAGAGGAGTAAGGAGAATGTAAAAGTCTCTTCACTCTAAATAAGAAGGCAAAAGTATTTCCAGGATGTTCTACAGACAGGCAAGAGCTCATACCTCCAATAACCTCCACGTCGATGTGATCTGCAAATTCAAGACTAAGTTCCAAGTGTGTTTCAACTCAATTCTGCAGCAATTTCAGCTCTTGAAGAATAAGTACTGAGCAGCCTTAGTTCCACCACTCAAATCAGTGGGACTCAAGTATCCTCAGGTTTCCTCTGAATGTGCTCAGAACTTTGCTAAGTGTTCCTGCAGCCAAGCAATTCTCCTCTCTTCTGAACTGCACAAATTTGCTGCTGACCCAAATGGAGCTGAACCTCCCAGCGTCCTTCCCTTCGTGCCCGTGGAAGTTCTAAGTGCACTTCATCCTTTCCAAGAGGAACAATGATGCATACACCAAACATTTCCCTCCACAGTGAATCTTGCCTTAATTAGGAGGACTTTTGCAGAAGATGTATTATCTATCATGCCAGGACCACCACACTATCATATCATGCAGAATTCAGTCCTTTTATCATCAGATCTGATTATTTCTTTATTTAGCAGCTACTAACATGTTTGGAGATGCAAAATCACATCACTTTACTTTCTGAAAGATAGCAGTAGGAGTTATCTCAGTGCAGAATGGATTCCCCAATTAGAAAAAGAACAGGGACCTGCTTTTTCCCCCTCGTCAAGCTTGGGAAGCTCTAAACAGTACGCAAGGCAAAAGGGGAAAATGGTTACAGTACAGAGAAGGCTAAAATTTGAATGAGATAATACCAAACCTTTCTTGTGGAAGGAAAAGGAAATGACTGATTCTAAAAAAGCTTCTGTGATAAATCATCACCCCTGCATGAAATTCCATTCATATATGCTGCAATATCTGGTAGTAATGTTAGAGAAAAACAAAAAGGAACAAAAACTTAGCAACAAACAAGTTTATAAAGAACAAAATACATCTTGCTGGAATTGCTGAGCTCTTTTAGTAATTCAAACAGTAGAAGGAGATTTCAGAATCAAACAAAAGTTTCAACAGCTGTATTTGTATTACAGTCATAAAGGCATAAATGTGAAATACAGCTCTAATAAAAAATTGAAGTTTAGAAAACTGGATGGTAATTTTCCACCCTTTCCAGAAGTATCTCAGAATATCCAGGGGAATAATACCTGAAAGAGAAACATTTTGTTTGTGCATTAGACTACAAGGCATGTTCTGTGCTAAGTAATGAAACACTATTCATATTTCTATTGATCAGGAAAAAATCCTAGCATTAAACACCGGAATTCTACAGTTATTCCCCTACAATGTTTTAAGAGCCTGCTTTTCAACTTACGTTATCATTTATACTTGGAAGTCAGGTTTTCAAAAATATGTTTAGCTTCTTTTAGGGCATGTAAGTAAGTGTCCAGCAGCCATAAGCATTGTCTTTACTGAGAAATGTAGATGTTAACTTCTTTTGAAATTATGGCCTTTAATAAAAAAGCATGAGTTTACACAGAACCATAGGCTGCCAGATGACAATAGTCTACTGCTGTTCGCCAAACATAAGCACACGCCCCAAAGCTAATGTGAAGTCTACATCAATGCGAGAGACATTGATTCTGGAACAAAAAAAATTATCACAATGACCTTCGGTCTCTAATGCCAACTCAAGGACAGAGATTATCCAATAGGTTTTCATTAGAGTAGGATTCTACAGTACCATTATTGTCCTGCTGTCATTCAGCTGGTTTTCCACAATGGACCAACTACATGCTTCCAATATGCAAGCATCACCAAAGCTGCATTTAGTTCTTGTTTTCCAGGTTAAGAGTATCTGAAATTTATTACTGTGTTATTCTGAAAACGTACATTTCTGGGTTTGCAGGCATGTAAATTGTCATCTCTGAGCCCTGGAAGCTTTAACTATAAAGAGAGAGGAACACACTTCCATGTAATGCATGCCTAAAATGTATTCAAGTAGAAATCCCCAATGTTTTCACACTGAAGGAAGATCCATTTACCGTGTTGATTTTCATTTTCTGGATGATTTCTGCATAATGTAACTCTTTTAAAAACTTGTATTAGTTCTCTGATTGTAAAGCTAACTTTTCAATGCATTACTATATTCAGTCTGCAAACAGCCTAAAATAATAGGTCTCCAGGACAAACCCAGAGCTGGAGTCTATTATAGCAGCTGTGCCTCAGGCAGCACAACCAACATCAGGCAGTAGCACAAAGAGGCAAGCTGGAGATGCTCGAAGGGGCCCTTTTCTTTATTACATCCCAGCCTACATAAGTAACCTTGTTTCATTTACAGGGGGGAAAAAAAAAAAGCTGTAACAAAAAAACATTAATTATATCCAGAAAAGTATAAGCAAATGTCCTCTCTCCCTCTGAAGTATTAGTGTTTGTAGCTGCAGAATAAAGTTTCTTTATGATTTTGCTTTACCCATTTGACAACCACTGGCTTTTCCTTGTGGGGACAAACAGGGCTTCATTTTGCATGACTTAGTTTGTAGCTACTAATAGCTGAAGAATTCTGTTGCTATAATTAAAATTGATGATGCAGATTTTCAGAGCCTGTAGAGGGAGTGCACGAGTACAGCATCCTTTTGATGTGTTGATGGAGTGAAGGACTGGTAAATGGATATCTAGAATCTAGGAGGGCATTTCTCTCATTATTACAATTTAGGATGGTGACATTTTGACTGTAAGCTATTTAATAGTGTTTCTGTATTCATTAAGGGCAAAGTTCAACTTGGTGCAGACAGCTGGTGTATGGTCCTTTTATATAACACTTAAGCCTCATGATGAGGCTGGGGGAGGAAGGGCAGCTGTGGGCAGAGCAACTGTGCAGGAGAGCCTCTGGTCCCTCTGTACATCAGAGGAAGTTTCAGAGGAGCCTCTGAATACACTAGTTCAGACAGGCTCTTAGGGAAGTCAAGGATGCAAGCAAAGACTCACCAATACCTGTAGTTTGGAGCCTGAGTAATCCATAAATAAGTTACCAAGATAAAATAAACTTCCCACAGACATTCATTACTGTTGTAATGAGCAGTTGTGCTGAGGTCTCAGAGTTTGGGTAGTGCAGAACTTTTCTCCCCCAGCTTCCTGCAAGAGCCTGATTATTTGGCCTTTGTTTACAGACAAAGAAATTTGATCCCAAAAACAATCAGACAAGAGAAAGCGTTCAAAAGTGTGTCTAACGGTTGTGTTACCACTGGGGCAGTTAACCAAATGCCATGCTGTTTTATTAAAAACAAAATTTATGTAGAAATTAAATTAATATTTCAAATCCTTGGTTTGTGTTGTTCCTGTGAAAAACATCTAACAATGTTATAACTATGAATTTTTTAAATTTCATTTTCCCTACCTTACTATTTCCTCTGGATAGCAATTGTTAATAGTGTTGATATATTCCTGAAGAAGTGACCCAGGTTCTGCTTTTATTTCTTGAACCTTTTTAAGTCCACCAGTTGTTACAAAAAGACGACGTGCTTTACTGTCATGTGGTAACACCTACACACAGAAAAGTACATTAAAAAAAAAGCGAACATTTTCTTTTAAAGGAATCTCTAAGTTACTAGGCTCAAATATTGCTTATCTGTTTTTAATTCAGAGGACAGATAAAGTGGAACACATCAGAGGTACAACATCTGTAATGACTACTGTATTTTAACACTCAGTTGTACAGGAAAAAAATCATAAACCAGCCCTTTATGGTTATAAGATAATTTAACATGTACTTTAATACATAACATATATAAAAATACTGAATTTAATATTTATCTTTATGTAAATAATATTTCTTGAATTATTCCTACAGAGACAATATGATTGCGGAGATTAAATAGATAATAAAACCAGAACACTAACATGGAATAACAACAGCATCTGTTCCAGTTAAACCAAGTTATTCAGGTCTTTTATGTCAATTCCCACAGTTTATTTGTAGAGCAGAATTTTATATCATTATAATGATCTAGTATAGATTAGTGCATGAAAACAATACTAAGAATTGTTGCAAGTGAACAATGCAGCCTTGAAGCATTACATGCTACTATTAAATTCCTAGATATTAAAATCCTACAACACACTGTGTAGCCATGGAAGCCTTTTACAAAGACACACACAAAACACACAAAGCAAAAATGTTAAGTTTCTGCAGCCAAAGGGGATGAGAAGCAGAAATGATCAGACAATACATTCTGCGCTCCCTGAATGATGCCAATATGCAGCTCTGTCCAGAGGATGGGAGGGAGGGAGAGAGGGAGGTGGGGGCTGGGCCAGGCAAGGGAGAATGACAGCATGTAGTCCATAGGCCCACAGGGCTGCAAAAATATTAAAAAAAAAAAAAAAGAGAGAGAGATAATGCAAGACATCAGCTGCATCTACAACAAAAACAGATGGGTTTAAAACCAACTCTGAGAGTTACGTATTATGGGGGCAAAAGCATTTTGTAAGCCTTCACACTCATCAGACAAATCAAGCCATAAATTTGACTGTATCTCAGTGTAGAACAAGAGCCTTGAAGGAGGAAGGGATTGCCTAAAAGGATGAAGGAAAAGAAGGATGAGATTTCTGCCATGCATGTAGGCAAACAGCCTTCATTTCTCTGGTCCCTCTAGGCTGTACAAAATCACCAGACAGGTAAAGAAAAACAGGGGAGCATAGAGACTTCTCCCTATTATATGCTCCATAGAAGTGTCAGGAACAACTGTGATTGTTTCATTGTGGGAACTGAAAAGACGGCTGTTTCCACATATCTCCCACAACAAGGACTGCCAAGAAGGAACTAGCAAGGAGACAGGATATGGCCCTTTCCCTGCCTTCCTCCTCCCCACTGTGACTCCCGGGCTGGGTAAGACAGCAGAAAACTCTCTTGGAAAAGGCCCTAAAGACAGACAGCACCTCTGAGACACAGTCCCTTCCCCCAGTCCAAACTGAGACTGCACAGAATTGCATAGACCCTGAAAAGGATAATGCTAAAATGACACAGTCCAGCACCAAGAACGGATAGCATCTCACTCTGAAGCACAGCTCGGAAATAAGGCTTTTACTGTGCTATAAATAAGCCAACAGAAGTAATACACCACAGCTCTAAGAATAGGAAATTCCCAAGCTATGGTACAGGAGAGAAAAATGCTTTTACTGCAGAGAACTTAATTTTAAAAGTATACTTCAGAAGAGCAAATGCCAGACAAGTATAGTTTGTTTAATACAATGTAGGAGAAGAAGAAAAACGAAACAAAACAAAACATCAGCTGATATGAAAGGTACAAAACCACTTCAACAGCAAACAACATTCAAATCTATACACTGGGTAAACCAGTTACTATGCACTCAGCTCATTAATAGCTCTAGTCAGCACACAGAAGCAAAAGGCACTGGATTCTGACCAAATCTCCAATCTTTGTATAGACTTAGCAAGAAGACAGGACAAACCTAAGTGTGGCAATGTAATCAGGAATCTGCACTATAAACAGTAGTGCTTGCAGAACTGAATATCAAGAGTGTTTTACTTGGCCACTTCCAGAAAGAACATCTCACCAAGAGAGCCTGGTACCCCCTGCTAACAGGTTACACTGCAGAGTATTGCACAAAAGATAGTCTATAGTTGAGCAGGATTCCCAACAGCTGGTGAACATTGCAGACACTGGAAATCTCCTGATTAGTTAGCAATTACTTAATTATTTGAAATATTTTTATTAAATTGTATCACTTTTTACCTGCTGCACTCGAATCAACAATGTAATTAACAACAAACAGTTTCAAATTTTGAAAGGGATGAGAAAAGATTTGGGATTTTTACACTTACTTAATTGAGACTGAAAATTAATGAGGATAAGAGTGGTGAAGCTTTTATACTCTAGATTATTGTAAAATACCTGACTTAAGTCACTCCTGTACAGAGAGCTTGTACTTTATCTAAAACAGATGTGACTGGGATTTATGCGATACACTGGCTCAGTGAAAATATTTGCACGTGAGTTAATATTCCACTTAATCTCAAGAGGCAAGGAAGAAAAAAACACCTTGCTTATAAGCAACTGTTTTCCCAGTCTTAGGATGAATTATGGCAGGTTCTAGATGAAACATTATCCAGCTTTATCATAAAAAAGAACGGGATGCTCTAAACTGCTTCTGCAGGGAATGCTTGAGGATCCTGAGAAAACAACTGAGACCTTTAGAGAGACTCCATCTTTGGAAAGATAGCTTCCTTGCTAAATGGAAAACAATTAACATATTACTCATCAAGCAGAGCCTTTTCTTACCTTACTAAACTGCCCAACAATATGTTTCATAATATTGGGAGGGGCATCATGCAGCAATGGTTCAAGTGCCGGAAGATACGTGCATTTCTGAAGGATGTTCTTTAAGGCTCTTTTAGTCTATTGAAATGCAAAATAAAATTTCTCTACTAAGACATCAATGAAAATAACAAGAATTCATGCTATATATCACTAAAGTCTGATCAAAAAAGCAAATTGATCAGAATTCTCAGAGAGCATTTTCTGAATAAAAACTATGATATCTATCAGGTCACTTAATGAAGAATCAATTTTCTACTTAGATTTATTAAACCTCAAAACCTACAGTGCATCATATTCTTATTATGTTATCTACAGTTAAAGTAATGGCAATTTTCCTTTGACTACAATGGAGGCAGGAGTAGACCCTTTAAGTAAATTGAAGTACTGTAATATAATAAGAAAGCTAAATCAAAACACATTTTAAAAGATTGTATTTTAGAAGTGGCTTACTAGGAGAGTCTGCTGGTCTGGGATAGCAAAGTGCACTACCGTCCAGGCAGGGAGGGAAACAGAGAGTGAAACAGTTGTACATCAGTGCTTAGTTTCTGAAAACAGACCCAATGCTGACTGCTACAAGCAGTAATGACCTTCTTGGGTAGAATTATAGGTACAGCTAATTTGGCCTTGATATTTTGGGGACCACTGAAAATGACTATACAAAAGTTCTTTTACGGATCTGGAACGTTATACTTCAGTGGAATGTGCAGAAGCATACCACAACATGGGAGACCATATCCTGTCATATTATAATCTTCAGTTGGTTCACCTACTGTCGCTCAAAAATACACTTTACCAAACTGCAACTCTACTAGCTCCCACACGAGGAAGGCCCTAAACATGAACAGTTGCATGTTTTCAAGAGCAGAGCTTTGAGTATTTGTTACAGTTTTATTATAATAATAGAAATGCAAGCAAATCTACTACCAGGACTATAATATTTTGTAGAAGAGCTTATACTTCCAAAAAAAAAAGTAGGTAATTAGAAATTAGTCACTTAAAAGAAATTTAGCATTTATGCATGTATGCAATTCTGATCTAAACTGGGAAGAAAATGAGGGACTAGACTGCTGTGGCTGTACCATATGATTTGGTATGCACCATATGCACACCCATTAGGATGAGCCAGTCCCAATAAATGACACACAGCCTTCAGATACCCTACACCCAGGAAATCTGTGACTCGATGAAGACCAATAAAAGCATATACCATTTAGTAGTTTTTAAGCACTTACACCTGTTGATTACAATAAATATCTCATACTGCAGAAACTACAAATGTACTTGCTTTCATTTGAAGATCTTCTGAACTGCGTGTGTCCATATACATAGCAAGCAGTGTGGGTAGCACATTTGCTACTGCAACAGCACGTGCATGCTCAGGAGTATGTCTTCCAACCTGTCCCAAGGCCCAAGCAGCTGCTGCTTTAATATGATCTTCATGTTCTTCTATCAAGCAGGCACACAGTGGTGGTATTCCCTGTAGCATTAATCAAAAGCACAACCTTTATAAATCTACACCAGGGAAGGACAACTTTAAACTGATACAGATTGTTAGAAAATGTTTCTCTATTTACACTCTTCTTCTAAAATAAGGTAGTGGTGTCATTTTTACATCATCATGACTAGCAAGAATTTTGAATAAATCTTAATAAATCTAGTTAAAGAAAGAGAGAAACACTCAATGTTCTAAGTCAGAAGGCAGTTTGAGCTAACACGCAAACTTAAGGGATAAAAGGAATACATGACACAATTCAAGCTGTACTAAGAGCAAAGGCTTCAGTTTTGTCAGACTGAATATGGTTCCAGTTTACCAAGCCATGTCCTCAGCACTATGTACCATTCACAAGCTTAGTTTCCCCTGAAGCAAAGTTTTTTTTAAAATGGGTTTGGGGTTTATTTGGGTTTCTTTTGTGGATCATTCATTAAAATATTTAATTTCATGAGAGTCTGCACAGATCCCTACAAAATCTCTCACTGTGCTCCCATTCAGTTATGGTAGCAACCATTATTACTTTTCAAAAATTTGTCATCCCTGAAAGTGGAGAGACAGAGACACATCCTTCCTCCTGTCATTAGCATTATTCACATCAGAATATTATGTCAGGCGCTAATTTCACCACTTGCGAATATATTGCAAATTCTCTCCCTTCTACATCATTGCCCAGCAGAATTTATTTAAACCTGAAAATGTATAGCTTATCTCATTTGAAATGTCACTTGTACGACTGAATCAAACGATACTACATTAGAAACTGAGGTCTTTTCAAGTCTGAAGATTTCTGTTGCAAGACTACTCTAGCAGTACTAGCAGAGTCATGCTAGTGCAATGAAGAATGTGCCATTAAACATTCTTGTTTCAAAAAGGGGTTTGATGTAGCCACAAATATTCATTTTAAGAGGAAACAGACCATAGAAATTCACTGACTTATTTTCTGTAGCCATGCAATTGCAACACAGAAAGATCATGTACTGTAATACAAACGGATGTTCACAAACTAATCCAGGATATTTTCTAAAAGGTTCAACTTCAACTTGATCGGGTTACCACATAATTTCAGCCACAGCAAGCAGCAATATTAGGAGAAAGTGCATTTATCAATAGCAAATATATAATTCTGTCACAAAATACATTCTCTGCCTATGTTAATTTGTATCTCTTCCTCAGAATACCACTGAAGAATTATAGGAGGACAACAAAGTGATGGCTAACCTTGGAGGCAATCACTGCCATTGACAGGTTCTCCGAATGAGCTGCTACGTAACCAAGCATCATGATGCCAGGCAGTCTGACAGTCCCTCTGCAGCTGCCAATACAATCAATCACAGCAGCAACTCCACCTGCATTTACTATAAGCTGTGAAAGCTGAAAAGATAAACGGAAGAGATTAGATACTGTGAAGTATCAACAGGCATAAAGCACTACATTAGAAAAGCCTTCAAATGTATTGCTCCTGATTTACAAAATAAAACTGGAATAAGAGTGATGTACCATACAGACTGTTGGGCAGTAAGTGCAGCATGAAGTTCTCAGGAATGAAGCTGTTCTGATACCTGTTTTTGATTGACTTTACTGCAAGGAAATCAGGACTCTGAATTCTTGATGCTGTATAGCATGGAATGACATATTCTCAGCTCCATTACTATACACCATAGAATCATGCAAATGACAGCCTAATACATGAGTGCCCTTGAAGACGCACCTACTGAACCAGATATTCTTTCATACTAGTGCCCCCTCATTCCCAAACCAACATCATATGTTCCGTGCAGGGACAGAGGGAAAGGCCCATTCCTCCTCTCACCAGCATTCTAGATAACCTCTGCGGCATAAAAGCCTTTGTGGATCCCCCTTACTGTGGCATAAATCCAAAGACAACTGTCATGAATGCACAAAAACGACTTGGACTACACCATTCTGCCATGTTGGGGTGGACAGAGATCACTGTCACTCTGAAGCCGAACGTGGATTGTGACTTCCCACTGGGAGTCACCAAGATACTTCCTACAGTTCCTTTGGAGAGCTACTAGAATGGCCAATTCCCCTTGCACGGAGGATCCTGTGCTAGCAGCTCTTCTGACTTTACCTGCAGTCTTGTGAGTTTGGCCTCTGGCTTCCAACTCTAGTGCCCCCCCTTTGATAAAGACAATTTCTTCACTTTTTTGAGAAAGTGAAGTTGCATTGCTCATTCTCTCACCAGAGAGAAAGCGGGAAACGTGACAAGACTGCAACCTTTAATCACCAGCAGCTTAAAGACTAGCAGGCTGAAAAAACAGCACAATGTTCATGTTTAAACACTTCTCCACTGTTAAGCTAGTATCGTGATTTTGAAATGGCTGCACTCAGCATTAGTGTGTTCCACAAATACATTGCTTGTATTTCATTCCAGAGTCATATTTAGAGCCTTTTAATTATCTCTGTGGTCTGACAGATTAACATAGTTATAATTATTTGTTTTTCCTATTTATTTTGTATTGACTTTGCCAAACATCCCCACCTTCCTGTATCAATTATTGGCAAAACCACTGCAAATGCTGAGACTCAAATTACAAACTCAAGCTAATAAAAGAAACTACCGTCAGTTTAATAATAACTAAGAGAACTTTTGACCTTCATTGTCATTGCAAAAATAATTAAAATGTGATCCCAGCACCCCAGAAGATTTTTTAAAAAGACATACATCATCTATTATTGTTACAGGATGATCGTGTCATTTATTAGCTGGTATCATGACTTCTGTGAGGCTTTTCTCATGGTGTTTTTAATATCTAGGACTGAAAATACTATCAGCCTAAAACACCCTCTCTGCGCAGATATCTTATAGAATGAAGTAGCTAGGTACACATTATATGATTCCCAGTTTCCTAACCCAATTCATATTCAATACACATCTCATAATATCAGCAAGCATTTCCATATTTTTTCCAATGAACATACAAACAGCTATTTGCCCTCCCTTTCAAAAAGCAAATGACAGAATAATCCTGTATTTTATTTAAAGTGTAAAATCTAATGATATGACCTTGTATTTGCATTTTCAAGGTTTTACCTCAGGCGTATGCTTTGCTATCTCTCTAATTAAAGTTGCACCATTTTTCTTGACATATTCATCTGAATCCTTCAGGCATGTGAGTACAACTGGGAAAATTTCTGCTTCAACCACCAGCTCTGCAAGATCCACTGAATGCTTTGCTATTTGGCTTAGAGCTGACAGCACCTGACGCTAGTAAATAAAAATTGTTATAAAATCAATAGTATACAAACATCCCACAACATACACTCCTCCTGCACACAAAAATCTATTGCATCAAGGAAAACAAAGCAGGATAGGGAAAACAATTACAGATATTTTACAATTCACTGAGTCAATTCACACACGAATATAATGGCACAGAACATTTGCTGGTTCCTGAATAAAAGTTTCTCCTTTGTTTTATCCCATTCAAGCTTGCTATGTATTAAAAAGGAAAAAATATATATACCATTTAAAACTATAATTTAAAATTTAGTGAAATCTACAGAAAGTATCTTTATTTGCATAAGTTTGGTCTGTCAGACCTTATATAAAAGAATTTTTATGTCAGACCTTATATTAAAGAATTTTTATCTATTTGTTTGAAGTGGCATTTTTATGTTGTCTTCTGTTTCTGTTAGATTAAGACAGAAAAATTATATTAAGAAACTATTTTTTTGCCAATTAAACTCTAGTGATTAAACCTTCGACAACAGTTATTCACATCAGATTGTACATTCTAAAATACAATAATACATTTAACATTAACTGGTTTATAGTATAACCTTAAGTATGCAAAAGCTTTTTTGTAACTGAATTGTGCAAATTTTATCTATTAAAAATATCTGTTGCATTCTTCGAATACTATATAATTCTAAAAAAAAATTCATACTATTCACTTTAAAGATTAGTCTAGCTGTTCCTCATAGGGCGACAGTTTTTATCCAGCAGCTGAATCTGTGAATATGTTCAGAACTCTTTGTCACTAACTATGTAGTTACATTTTGTTAACGCCCAAAACAAGAGCATCCTAAATAAATATGCACATCAGTGTCTTTGACTCAATATCAAGTAATTACTGGTATAATGGAGATTTAAAAAAAATTTTAAAATGTACCTTCAGTTTAGCATCAGGGTTCAGGATCATCTGAGCTAAGTGAGCGATAGCTCCTGCATCCACTACTGTCTGTGCTAACTCTGGAGAATGCTTTGAAATATCACTGAGAGTTGAAGCAGCAATCCTTTTCAAAGCAATTTCTGGCTCCTGGATACAGAGCACTAAAAGAGGAACAGCTCCTGCATCCACCACAGCTTGTGACAGTTCTGTAGGTCCAAGGAAAGTAATTAAGTGAGTATGGGTGACTGACCCTTGTGCAAGCCATTTTTCACCCTGACAGATACAGCAAAGGAAAAAGGGGAGGGTGTAGTTCACTGTCTCGACATCTGCATTTCAAATCAGCCCTCCTGGTTTCATAAACCGTGTGGACCAATCCACAACTGAAAAGAATGCAGGTCAATAGATGGACCCCCATTTACATGCACACATTTGAGGTAGATTAGGCTGAAATGGTTTGTTATTCTGTTTTCTTTTTCTTTTTTTAAAGTAAGCAGATGTCAGCTGTTTAAACCCTGGCTATTCTACACTGATCAATAGGAAAGCATTTTATGCATGGCTAACAACAACACAGAAAGCCAAAGTACCAAAATTTTACCAACCACCTAATTAGAGAGCATTTTACCCTCTTTAAATTATAAGCAGATATTAGCATAGATCAAATGCCAAAAACAGAAATACAAAAAAACATACATAGAAGATTTATCTTACATAAAAGATGGGAAAAATGGAACTTGCTGATCAAAACTAGGTTTTGCTACCATACATGGGACAAGACAGAATTTATACTTTAATGATATGAAAATGTTACCATACACAATTACACAAATGAGAAATATCACCAGTGGGATATTGTGTCTGAGATTAGTACAATATCCTTAACTAACTGCACCTTAAATTAAAAAAAAAAAAAAAAATCTGAGCATATGATTAGCTGACATGGACAAAAATTACACTATTAGAAATTCATCAGCTCTCTCCATGTATGCAGCATTAATCACAGTCCTAAAAATAAGAATTACTGGATATCAGAAGCAAAATTTATACTATAACCAAGCTGTGCTATTTTAAAATAGTGTTGAAAAAGTGGTAAAAATCATGGGGGATTCAATAATCTATTAGGTTCTTAGTGCAGTTTTGCTACACCTTATTATGCATATCCATTATTATCTTTAACATTTATCTTGACTTACAGTACCATGGCAACATATGGCTGTTGTATTTCAAGACTCTAACTTAGCTTTTGATTTATAGTCCATCCATAAAGATATTGTCATACTAAGAAAAATATAGCATATTTCATTAAATATACATAGAGTAATACAGTTTTTCATGAAATCTGTAAGTCATGTCATCATTACTTTGTTAATATCCAAACAATGTTCCTGACCAGATTTGCTTTCAATTAGTGAGTTATAGCCACACACTCCAATACATGTCGTAAGTCAAATATTTACACTGTATGTTATTTTATTATATAATATTTTAAAGAAAGTATAAATATTACCTCACAAAATTATAATAAGTAATGCAGTAATTTTAAAACTAATAAAAAATTAACCCTTCAAGGTTCACTTTTCAAGTAACTATTTGACTGAAAAAGTAGAGTATGCATCCTCCAAATACACACAAATCATAAGATTTCAACAAAACCCAAATGCTGTATCTTCAGTTTTACAAATTTGAAATGAAATGTACCTGAAACGTATCTGAAAACAAACCTGAAAACTAGCTAATCAATATAAGTGGTTTAAGCTACATTCAGCTTTTCATGGAAAAAGCCATACTTGATTTCTTCAAATTGTATTTTGATGTTATACACTGACCAAGTAGAATACATCATGAACTACTGACCAACCATCCAGCTTAATCCATCCGACTGTGCCTCAGAAGCAACTTCAGAGCAACCAACTCAATTACCTACAATCTGCTAGGAGATGCTAATATCAGAAAAGTTATGTCAAGAGGGACAGGCTACTACTAGAAGAATGGGTTTCTCTGATGCCTTATGAGCTGAAATCATGCAGTTGAAGTAGGGGGAGAAAGAGCAATACTTTAAGGTCACAGCTACGCCCAGGCATGCAAAAGTAACCATAAAAGTTATTTTAAAAGAGCAAACTAAATCTGATTCAATTTAGATCAGCTCTTGCTGTTAGAAGTCTGATATAATTTAAATACTGATGGTTACTGTTGGTCATGGTTAATTAAATGGTTGTTCTTCCAGTGGTGTTTATAAGGTTCATGGCTAATAACTTACCACATGGAGGGCTGGGCCATGTGTCAAAAGGCAGACAAGCAGTAAACGGACTATCAGAGAAACAGGAAAGCTGAGGCAAGGACAAAAGAAAATATAGATCTTCCCATCACATTCCCCTGCAAACTCAGCCCAAACCTACAATTCTAAGTATTAATGATGCTATGATAGTTGTAATTCTTTTTTCTCAAAAAGAGGTGCAATTAACCTTCCCACTTGATAGAACATCTTTAATTCAGACTGTACACCAAAGGATTCATGAAATTTTGCTATCCAATTACAAAACACAGGTGAAAACAAATGAAGGCTGAGAAAGAGTTAAAGGAGAAAATACAGTTGTCAAAAAGAAATTTTTAAAAACAAATATTCAGTCAAAGAAATTAAAAGAGCTGGAACAAATTACAAAAATACTTTTCTGAACAGTATGCCAAGACTACATTATAAGGGCAAAGACAAGACCAATAGCTGAAGAGGAGAAAGACAGCAGAGAAAAACTAATTTATGAACCTCATTTAATTCCACAGAAAGTTATGAAAAAGCCTGGGCTTCGAACTTCAGTTTGGGGTACAGCTCAGGAAACCTGTCCAACTCCATGATGATAAAGTAGGACTTCTCCCTACGTGAGTGAAAGTAGGAAATGTTATTCTACGTATCCTCAGAGACAAGAGAACTAAGACTCAAAACCCACCATAAATTAGTTGCTTTTGTCCAGAACAGTATGAGGAAGATTTTAGCAAATGGAGATACTGCAGACATGAAGACAGACTGACATGGAGGTAGAAGAAAGACTGATAAAGAAAGACTTTGGAGTTTAAGATGTCACCAGTTCAACTAGAAGTTGCACTAGAGTTGTACTGATTTGTGTCAATACAAAAGTACTCATCAGGGACTAAGAAATTAATTCAAAGTAAGTTGAGGCCTAGTCATGAGTTTATGTGATCAGAAGAGTGGAAAGTGAACAAAGAGGAGTCAGTAAGATCCTGACTGCATACCTACTGAAATCAATGGGAAGTCTTACAGGATTCCTCTAAACTGGTTTAAGGTGTTACAAAAAAAAATCCATACTAACGTTAACATGTTGGCAATAATAGTATGGATAAAAAAAAGATTAGGGAGAAAAGATGAAGGTGAGAAAATGAATGTGCAGGCAGTCCCCAGAGAAAATCAGCTCTGAACAAATGCCATAGTGGAGCAGCAGCAAAACCTTCTTTTTTTGGAAGCAAATGCAAGTTTCAGTCCAGACCAGGGTTCTCAAACAGACCCTGCTGTGGTGGCAGGTGTATCCACAGGAAATAACAGGTTTTGACCAAAACAACCACCAATACTGTATTTTTCTGAGGACTGTGTGATCATGTAATGGCCACATCGGAAGACTTTAATCCCCGCAAGTAGTCCAAAGTCTGCGCTTCAAAATCACAGGTTTATGCAGATCGCTACAACCACAGTGCTAAAGATTCCACTGGAACCAGTGGGAAAACCTTTCATCAGGAGAATGATGGAGGTCATTAATTACAGGGCAAGCTTAGATCCTGGAATAATTCAAAGTTACCGCTAGACTCAAATCACTGAAGAGCTGAGCAACCTGGTCTAACCTTGTAGCTGACCCTGCTTTGAGCAGGAAGCTGGACTAGAGACCTCCTGAGGTCCCATCCAAGCTGAGCTATCCTATGATCCTAAGAGTGCCACTGTATGACAGAAAATGAGCATAACTCCGCTCTCAGCAATGCTTGAGTATAAACAGTGTTGGGTTTTTTTGTTTTCCTACCAATTTACAATATGCTGAAGCAGGTAAGAGATGATTACTAAGTTACACCTTTTATGTAGGCAAAGCAAATGGAAAGCTAAGTAATTTGCATACCTCAAACATAAGAATTTTGCATTTTAAAAGTAACTGAATATGGTACAAGTAAAAATTTACAAAATTAACCTGATGGTATTTTGATGGTATTTGAAACACTTTACATTTCTTTTCAAACACAAATAGTAGAACTAATGAATGGCAAAATTAGAGTACACTGATCTGTATACTTTGGAGTAAGATCAGTGTCTGAAATTCAGCTCACAGGGATCTTCAAGAAAGTGCAGAACTGCAAGAGCTGTTCCTAAATTTTGGAATCTGACCTGGCAAGATTTCTATTGTCTTGAAATCTCATGAGACATCTGTCTTGATCTAAAATCTCACAGGTCTTCTGGAGACATCTGTTCACAGAAGAACTGCATGTTAAAAAATTGTTCTATGAAGACAGTAGGGAACTTGCTAATCAAAGAATGTTTTCATCAAGAAAAAAAAAGAAGTCTTGATTTCTCAAAATGGAAGTCTTTTCATGGGAACATACACCGCAGTTCCTAGACAGCAGTTTTACCAGGTCATAGATGGAATTTCTGATTAAAAGTAGAAAGACCCTCCCATCGCAAACAGTTATCACTGAAGGCTGGGAGCCTTTGCTTGCATTCAGGGAGACAGAGGTTCACATCCTGCCTAAGACAGATCAGGACTTTAATCTGTCTCCCACGTACATCCCAGACATATGCCCTAATTATTGAACTTCTCTCGTTGGGGCAAATAAGCCTCCCTACCCCCCTGTCTTTTCAGGAGAGAAAAAAAATCTTGTCTTAATCTTGTCCCAGTTTGGAACTGAAACAATTTTTGAAACTGAAAAACCTTTCGTCGGTGGGGAAAACCATTTCAACCCAACTCTATATTTAGAGTTTAAACTGCAATACGTGTCCACAGATAGTCAATGACAGAAAATCATAACTGCCAAATTTTGTCAACACAAGCATGTGAGTCTAATCCAGAGTCTCTTGAACAGTAAACACCAGATGTTGATAAGAACAGGTCCATTTATCTTTGTATCCTATCTCCAACAATATCCTGTTGCAAAGGCATGCTTGTAGGAGTGTAAGAAACATACCATGCACAGAGTGATCTTTCTTCAGTGTAACTCCTCTACTTTCAGTAATCATTTTAGAGACTTCCTGTGACTGTGTTATAGAGGAAGGTAAATCCCCCAAATTGGCCATAGCTGGGCAGAAGAAGAACAATTTTTTTCAGGGTTTTTTTTTTTGTTGTTTGGTTTGGTTTTTTTTTTAACTGACAACATCTAGTGATCTATGTCCTGATGCTTGCAGCTTGGTAGCACTCGCAATTTCAACCTGATTTCTGAAAATGCTGTCCTTATTGCTGGCGTAATTTGACATGAGACATGCACCCATTCACTGTCAGTGAATAAATAATTCATAACCATGGAATAAAAATTCGTACAAGGAGTTTGTTGTCCTCAATATCCCCACACCACCTCCATCTTTGCAGACAATGCCATCACAGAGTGAACTGGATCACCGTAAAGATCAGCCAGCATTCATGCAGTGAATAGCATGAAGGGCAATTGAGGTGAGTCAATATTGATTTACTGACATAACAAAACTACAGAAATGTTTATGTTAAGAGTAACACAGACACACACTTACACTACACACATTTATACAAAGGAACACTTTCAAATGACACTTAAACAAACATCTTTCAGATGGAAGCAACACTTATTTTCCACCAACGGTGGGAGTCAGACCTGGTGACCAAAAGATAAAAGATCTTTAGCACACAGAGGTGCCCCAAAAATCAATTTGTTCCCCAGAAAAAACAGTCTGTTAGGAAGATGCTGACAACTTTGGAGTCTGTGCCAGTAAAGTGACCCTCTCCCTAAGTGGGAAGGGGAAATCCCCCATGCCTTCTGCAGTCCAACACTCCATATTGATTAAAAAAAGAAAGAAGAAAATCACTTCCAAATTCACTCTATGCACATTTTAAACCCAAAACCAAACATAAATGCATGAGTTAATGTTATGATCCTAGAATAAGTTTAACTTTAAACCATATGAACACAAGCCATTTCTCCCACACTTTCCAGCCAGCAGTTTCTTCCCTCAGTTATTTGATTCGTAGCTCTAAACTTTTACTTAAACTATATAAATAGCTGGTAAAATAATTATCAACCACGTGGATCAGCTTTTAAATAGGAACATGACACTGCCAGTGAGTTATACAACTGCTTGTGAGACAGCAGTGAACTGCTCGATATCGGATTCCTAGAATCTATTCCTGACTCTCAGAGAAGAGTGTGGTCTACCGGCTAACGATAATATAGTCAGTGCAATGAATTTGGCACATTTATCCTGCAGGCACTGCTGTAAGCTGAATGAAACTAGGTTCTGCCTAGGCTTCTCCATTTTACTATGTATATAAAATAAGAACTAATGCCGGGCAAAAGAAACTTTGTTCAACAGTAACAGTTACACAGTACGTAAAGATCCTGAAATTTCTTCACGAAGGAGAATAAAGCCAAGTGTCCCTTCCTGGCCACAGGCCCAATTCATGTCCTCTTAGAGCACCTCTCATAACCGGGCACTGCTGGTGTCAGATATGCCAGTTTCCCACAAAAGATACAGCATTGTCGAATTGGTATAGTTACAGTAGGTTTCATTCCAAATTTAAAATTTTATAACAGTAGAGAAGAAAAAGCATCCTGTTCTATTTATGAACATTACAATAATGCAATTTATTATAACTCTTACATAGCACTAAGCTGAAAGATAACACATATGAAACCTGTTACCTGAATTGTGTCGGGCAATATACCCAAGTGCCCAAGATGCAGCTTCTTTGACTCCAGGGTCAAAATCTTCCAAGCAAATCACAAGCATTTCCAGTGCTCCACACTGAACTATTGCCTGAGCTAGCTGTGGAGAATGTTTACCAACTGCTCTTAGCACAAATGCAGCTGCTTTCTTGTAGAAACGCTATACAAATCAGAAAGGAAAAAAAAAAGCTTTTACTAACATTAAGTAGTTCAAAGCATAATACAGTACAGACATGCATAAATTAGACTTTTTTAGTGGCAGCAGTTTCTCATACAGATCCAAATCAGGACCACCAGATATCACACAATGAACCTTATAGTCCTTCTTTGAGACAGCTCATGATCTAAAATTTGCAGTAAGTGCATAAACAAACAGAAAAAATGAGAGGGCTAAGAGGATATGGGGAAAAGATAATAGTCTAGATAAATCTGTTTGTTTAAGTGAGTAGTGAATGATAAGAGCTGCAAAAACAATAGCTCTTAACATATTTAACCAGATTACACAGGTTATGCAGGGCAAGCTCCTAAAGTAATTCTACCCATCTGTGACACTTACAAGGTTTCACAATTTCTAACGTATATATGCTCACAACGTCTCTATGAGAAAACATTGTTTACATTTACAAACAGGAAACAGAGGCACAGAGAACTAGATCCAACAAAAGGGTTTAGGATCCGAATCCTGAAATACCTAAATACTGCCTAAGCCCACAGCTAAGATCCTGTAAACGCATCCCACCAAACACCCAACACTGGATGACCCTCAGTTTTGACGAGGCAGCCTTCAATTCTGCTCCTGCGTGTGTCCAGAAACAGCTCACTTTCGACAGGACTAAGCAGCTTGGCACCTCTCTTGTAAGTTCAAGCAAAATCCAAGCACTTGTCTCAGTTCTACCTCTCTCTCTCAGTGCTGGACCACATACATGTTTTGAGCGTATATATAACATATGATGCAGCACACATCATGGGGTTCCATGTAAACTACAGTGGTGGTTGTGGTTTCTTCTAAAAGCACAGTTAGTCTTCCCCACAAAAGTCACATTTCAGTCCCCTCCTTGCAGTTTCATAGCTATCATTGGGATGCGGAAGCTGAAGATTGAATTTCTTCCCCTGCCTTACAGTTTCAAAATCCAGAGCCCAGTTAAAGCACTCTGGCCACAGACAACTGTTGGGAGAAAGACAGTTCCCCTCCCTCGTGAAGCCACTGTGCAGCAATGAGTGCAAGATGCATTGGGACGCAAATAATCTACTGCTACATCCATGTGCCTGGAGTATGCTCTCCAGCCTGGCAGTTGACAGATCAGCCCTACAGACTAGCTCTAGAAGGTGCGCTCTCTGTGTGCCTGCTGGCTTTAATCTCATTCCAAGATGCTTGACTCTCCCCTGCTCTGCACAGGGAGCATGTGGACTTCACAGTGCTTGATTCCTAGTGTCAAGGTACCCAAAACTTAAACAATGAAAAGCCCACATCCCTTTTGGATCAAGTCCAGAGAAACAAAGAACCACGTGAGTGCTTTTGTGCATCCTGTGAGGTGCCCAAACACCTTTGAAAGTCTGAAGCACTAAGGTATAGCAACAGAGGAGAATCTGCAATGGCTCCACAGGAAGTAAGAGGGACCCAGGCCCGCTCCCTGGCCCTGAAGGGAAGTGACACAGCACACCACATCCATCCACCTAAACTCCTCTTCCCTCAAAGCACAATGGCCTCATCTATACTACCGGAAACTGTTCCCGCCTTCTGCTATCCCCTAAACCATGTCCAGGTATTGCCGAGTAGTCAGATGGTTGGCATCGGCTAAAACCACATCAGAGAGCATGTTAACGATTAAAGAGCACAGTCATCTTCCAGTGCTCAAACACACGGCCTGACCCTTCATAGTTTACCAGTACTGATATAATTCCTTAGTGCCAAAAATCCAGTCTTCTAAGTTAAGGCTCACAAGCAGGTTACATTAAACATAATTTACAAGCAAAGCATTAAACATCATTTAAGGGCAACAGAAGTTATGGGAAACAGTACAGACAAATGGTCAAATCGCTAGCTAATCCAAGTTATTCTAAGTTTTGCTGAACTCAGTTGAGCTATAGTTGTTTACACCAGCCTATGTCTGTGCAAATATGGGTATGTTATTTCTGTTAAGTAATTATGCTCCTGGCAAAGAAAAACACTTCTTTGTTTTTATTATTCAAAACACATTTATTTACAAACCAACCTTATTCACAGGCACAGTCAGAACACACTGTAAAACTGTATTTTTCTCAGTTAATTGACAAAACATTGATCTGGGATGTGACTCTGTAACTGTTCTCCATAAATCAGTAGAATCAGCATTTATTGTGTGCTCAAAGAATCTCCTCCTTAAATATAGATGTTGATACACGAAGAGTGAGTGAAATGGAAACGTATCTGGGTTGGGTTTTTTTGCCTATGGGAAGTAAAAAAGTGCATGCATTGCTAAACTCTGCATGAACTGGATAATGAGTTTCCTTCACTTGCTCTCAGTCACCAAGGCATAGTAGGCTTTCCATGACCTCACACTAATCTTGCTGCTGCCCCAAGTGATTCTGAATTACAGCCATCTCGATGTAACAACAGCACAGGCAGTAACATGGAAGAGATAAATCAGGGTCCTCAAGCTAATTTAGTGAGGGCTTTGAGTTGTAGCAGGGGGGTAGTTTCCAAACCAAAATAGAGGATAGTTTTGTTCCCCTTCTTGCCTTAAAAACAGAAATAAAATAACCAAAACGGTTTTCAACTTGTCTAATTAAAACTATAACTTTCTTTCCATACTATAACAATATCTTGACATCAAGGTTTTTCTTTAGCTTTTTTTTTTTTTAAGATTAATTGTATAGGCAATGACCTATAAGCACAAAAAAAATTGCAATGAATACTTATATTTATGTTTTCCTCAAAAGATTGAAAACGAAAATATATAGTTTTCCAAATTATATTTCCATTGAAATCCTACTTCTCCTAAATCTAATAAATCAAAACTGCAACCTAAGTATGGCTCTTATATCAATGCACTTAACTCTCAGTTGTCTCTTTCCAGTAATTAGGAACCTTATTTGAAAGTATTTCTGTTAATCTAGGTTAGGATCACTGAAAAAATCAAAGCTGGAATATACGCAAAACCTGAAGAAAAATGGCAAGAAGGAAGGAAAAAGAGATCACCAGATTTATTTGCATTGCATTTGTGACTACATTTTGTTTGTTTGTTTGTTTTTGACAAATATGAAGATGAAAACCTTTCAGTGTATTCTCCTGTGTCAGTGGTTTGATATTTCTCAGGTTACAGACTTCCAAAAGGTTATGTTTGGAGGTATTAAATATTTCATTACAGAAGTTCAGGTTTTTTATATGTATTTTACAAATGTTTGGTATTATCAACAAATCCTAGTCAATTATCACTACAGCTTTCAAATTGTCTCATTTTTAAAGAGGGACCTTTTATAAAGCATCACTCAACATTTTAAAAACGTAACAGTGCCATGAATGTATTTCCTATAGTGCACTAAAAGGTAAGATGATATTTTAAAGTCAAGCTTATCTGAAGTCAGACTTAGGCACACAGTACACATTAATCTCTCAGGGGTTCAAACATACATGCTGTCTCTGACTTCAGTACATTTATTGCTACATTAGAATAACAGCAGATAGTTGATACAGAAAGATTTCCCTTTCCCTGTGCAATAGTTAAAAAAAAAAAGATTACTTAAGAAAACAATGATGCCTTACATTCTGCTCAGACAATGAACACACAAGCTGTGGAAGAATGTCTCCCTTCACGACTGCCTCTGCCAGGTCATCATTATAATTGGCAAGTCTCCCAAGAGCCAAAGCAGCAGTCTGTTGAATAGTTGGGACGACATCCAGCAAAAGAGGCCTCAGCAAAGACATTACACCTGAGTTACACCAGGAAGAGAAAAGCCCATTTGGTAAGCAGCATTTTTTCTAGACATTTGCCTTTATTCATAAAAACCTATCAAGTTACTCTTCCAGGTAATAAGGAGTTGTAGGAAATCCAGGTGTTCCACTGAAATGAAGTCGGGACTTGGATAGCACTGCTGATGCACAGCAATTTTTCATAGGCACAAAACACTTCTGAAATACAAAAAAGTCACATGTAGAAATAAGCTATATTCAAACATCTATAAAATACATGTATTAAAGCATACACAAGAAAATAAGGTATAGTCAAACACGTATAAAATGCATGTGTTAAAATACGCACAGGAAACTCCATCTGGAGGTCCTGGTGAGCTGACATTGGCATGTCACTCATTCAGCATGCCAGCAGAACCTCTACGTTGAATTACACCAAATTACATTTCATCTATTATAAGCAATGATTGAGTTGGGGAACAATACCCATAATATATTACTCTCCAGATAGAAGAGTTGAAGATTGTCTTATCATGTTATTATTTATGATGTGTTTTCACTGATGAGTCCACAGTGTATCAGTTAAACACGAAAGAATATGAAAGTCCATTCTCTAAGGTGGTCTTACAATACATACTTGAAATTACAGGTGAGGTAAGCAGCCGTGACATGAACCATTAGCAGTTACAGCCTAAGAAAGTCCTTACATGGATAAACATCTGGCTAAAAACAGGAAGTGGGAGAAGTAAACTGTCCCTTCTTGCAATAGGAGGGAGGAGGTCACAGTGCAGTTCTGCAGGCCTCCCTGCTGGGACATGTGCCACTCGGTATTCATCTATGATCTGAAACAGCATGAACAGTGAGGTGAGACTTTGCTGGTAACTCAAAGTCATTCAAAGTAGTACCAGTAAGGGAAACTATAAGGAACTAGAGACTGAATGACTAGATAACAAAATGGCAAGTGAAATGGAACACATACAGGGAAGCCAATCCCAACCTCACACATGCAGTGATGGACCCTAAACAGATCACTACCACCCAGGAGAAAGATCTCGATGTTAGAACAGACAGTTCCATGGAGATAGCAGCTCACTGCTCAGTAGCAGAGAAGAAACTTTACCCACAGAAGTATATAGAGCGCTCAGGATTATTTGAAAAGGAATAGAGGCCAAAGCAGAGGCCATCACTATGCTATTGTATAAATCTATCCTACATTTAATACCCTCCCCTAGAGTAGAACTGAAAAAGGTTCAGTGAAAGGCAACACGGATGATCAAAGATGACCACTCTGTATGTGGAAGCTCTTCCTACAGTTAAACTAAGACTCTTCAATAGGGATATAAATGAGATCCACATGGTGACATAAAAAATATGATTTGTAAGGTGTGGGAAGGGAAAATTACTTGTATTGCAATTCTTCGAAAGTGCTGTCCCTGTACCAGCCAGCTACATGAATTAATATTTCTGAGCTTTATACCTCAGCCAGAAATCAATGCTCTCTGAAGATGCAGAAGTGCTACAACAGAACACCAAACACTAAGAGCTACAGGCAGAAATCTCCGTATCAGCTGTTTCAGTTCTTTCCACTACATTTTTTTGCTAACAAAGATAAAGATTTAGCTGGGTGACTGTGGAAGAAAGCAAGACTTCCCTTCTCAAGGGCTCATGTGGTTATAAGCACTGAACAAAGGTCTTTTCGTGCAACAGTCCCACAACAGTGGGCACTGTCTAACGGCAGATGACACGCAGGTGTTGAACAGGCACACCATGACAAGGAAAAACTGAGGGCCTTAGAGCAAGGAATAGTCCAAAGGGATGGAGGCTATAACAAGTTACACCCGTAGCGTACTTATGTATAGAAGGGCACTCTGAAAAGAAAAAAAGTAAGTTGGTCAGCAGTGTAATTCTCACAGAGAACATTTATTTTAAATTAAAACCAAATTGCTCCCAGCAAGAAGAAAATAGACTAATAATCTATACATGGCTCTGAAAGGGGGTGGAGTGGGGGGTGGTTAAAACTAACCATGGAAGCCATGCTGACCACTAATGAATTTTTTCTGGGAAGGTCAATACTGCAGAGAGAAGCTGCACTGCCATGAAAGGTACGGCCTCCCAGGATGTTCGCAAGTCAAAATAACATAGGTGTCGGGGGGGATGCAGTAAAAGAAGAAAAGTGAAATGAAATTGTGATGTCTAATAGAACTACAGAAGCACCAAAAAAGGCTCTGTAACATGCATTAATTGAACATGTACATGTAGAACCTACAAAAATAGGTCTGTAGTATTGCCGGGGCCTGCTCACACTTCTGTCAAAGCCACTGGGAGCTGAAAGAGGCCTCCTGTGTACCAACAGACAAAAGCTAGATCCTCCAGTATTGTAAGATCAATGTGAATTCATTTAGTACTTTGCAGAAATCCCTACTTCAGAATGTGGTCATCATATTGACATCTTCTCACAAACTCTCCCAAACACCAGGTATGGTCTCATTAGCAAGTTATGCTTCATATCAAAATGCACTAAGTATTTTATGTGACAAATTAAAAGTAAAAACAAACAAATATGTGAGCTGGGGCCAACCCCCTGTATCATCTATAGTGAGCTATCTTCTAGCAAGTCACCTGCACCCTCTATAAGAGGGAAGGACAAGAAAATGCCCTCCCAACATCAGTTGCATGGTCAAACAGCTGCTGAAATTCCTAACCTCATGCTGTTCTGACTGTATTTACACTGAAGGTATTTCAGTAAAGCAGGAACAGTTAGGAGTAGTACATTTGTATTTAGTGTACAGATATTATATTTGAGCCCTTAACTTGAGATAATATGAAAACAAGATTATTTAATAAATTTTTTTTAAAAGGAAAAAAAAAAAGAAAAGAAATAGTTTTACTGATATAAAAGACACTGTTAGAAGTGGTTGGGGGAGAGGGGAAGGAACCCTGCAGTGTGCAGTGTCCTGACCCTAGAAAAGCCAAGAGCCCAATGGGTGGGACATTCAACCAGGATGTGGCAGACAGTTCAATTCTGGTGATGGTCTCAAAATCCAGCAAAATATAAACAGACTAGAATCACTTTATCCAGGAGGAACCCATGAGCTAAATCCAGACCACACGACATGCTTCTGGCCTGCATGACATACCTAGAGACACTGCAAAATGTAAAACCACATTTAAGAAAGTTTACATATACATATGCTTTGAGTTGTCCCAAATATGAGATTTATATCATTTGTATTTTCAAGATTAGCTGATACAGATCTTACTTTTAGAATAGGCTCAAAAACCTTGAACCTGAAAATGTTTCCAAGCAGCGTGCCTCGCCGTGACCAATACCATTCATTTCATTCCATTGTAGTATAAACCATGCAAAGCTTGGTGATGACATTTAAGTGTCAGCACAAAATGTTCTACTGCAAATTATTTTAGCTGATGAAACTGAAGGTGAGAAAAGAGATGAAAAGTGAAATGGGAGTTACTGTTTGAAGAAGGGACACAAGATGCTAAAACAGGGTTGAAAAAAAACAGTGACTGGATGGAAAAGGTTTAGAAATAATAGAAACTGTGCTGATCCTCAAACAGACTATATTTTCCCAAAGTGATGGCTGAATGTGAGAAAAGACAGTGAACAAATAATTACCATGACAAGAGCTTTGGAGGAACAAGAAAAAGAAAAATCAATTCCTGTTGCTGTACAAGCCTTATATTGACATCAAATTAACTGAGAATTGAGAGAGGTGTATAGGCCTAGATGATGCCTGTGCATTGAACATAATTAAAAGCTTCTACCTCTATTTCCCAGCTTCTCTAAAAACAGTTTCTTTCTCTGTATCAAGATGCTATCCATCACCCCTGACTACTCTGCAAGACCAACTGCTCAAGGAGTTTTCACCATTGTAATGATTTTTACGTTTTCAGCAAACCGAGTATTTCTTTTTTTACAGCACTTAGAAAAAATAAACAATTAATTCTGAGAGTGTGAAAACAGTTACATATAGATTATATGGTCTCCACTAAAATACCTATAGGAAAACAAAGATGTCCACTTTTCCTTCTATGACTTTTGAACATAGTGCTGGAAAGGACAGATGTGCCTGACAGAGGAGGTGGCTTTCCTGTCCTGGGCCCAACCCAGCTCTTTCTCCCAGAGATAGCTGTACTTGGTGAGCTCCTCTATTTGATCTCTTCCTTTCTTTTGACTGTCCTGTCTACAGCAAAGTCTACCCCTCTTCTCCAAAGGGGTCCAATCCAGAATTCCTTTTAGCATTTTGAATTAAATTCAAATTTATTTAACATTATCTTAGAGCAGGAAAATAGGTAAGAAGCTTCCAATAACTTCCTTTTACCTCTACCATTCACTCAAATGAACAGGGCCGAACAGAGCAGGGAGTAGCAGTGTCATGCTGCTGAAAACTTTAGAACTCTTTGGTCTTCTTCTAAATAAGTCTGTTGTGACAGAAGTAGGAAATTCATTAACTCTAATTCAAAGGCAGTAACACAGAAAGTAAACTACAAAATAAGGCATTTAGACCATTGGACTAGATTTGTTTTGGAAGAGTTCCCACTAGCAACTCAGAAACAGGGTAACAAAGAATTACTGCCAAATATTCTCTCTTGCATCACAGAACCTTGACTGACCTTGGGCAAGGAATGATTCCCCTTTCTATCCTCAGTTTCCCACTCAGATTTGTTTCAAAGAACAACACACTTCAGAAGCTGAATCACCCTTAACACACACTTCTCAAGTGGAGCTGTTGTGCATAGGCCTGATGCACTTTCTTTTAGCTAGCAAGTGCTGGCTGCTGCCTATCTGGAAAAAAACCCCACTCAGCAGCAAGTTCCAAGTTTTTTCATTCCAAGTTTCTGTAGCCAAACAAACAGTCACTATTCTGGAGATAGCAATTTTCGTTTGGTCATTTTGATTGCTTGGGGAAACCCACCTGGAAGTCATGCAGAATCCCTCTACTCTCCTCCCACCCCCACCAAACCCTTGTCAAACTCGATAGTCAGAGAAACACCACTCTACATTTGAAATTCTCTCAATTTCTGCACCTGAAGATGACCACTCCTACTGT